TCGCTCCCGTTCCAGGAAGCCTACTTCAAGAAGCACAAGTTCAACACGGTTCCAGGTGTCCAGCTCAGGAATGTAGACAGGTAGAGGCTGGCAGCAGGTCAAGGGGGTGGGCAGCTGCAGGCTTGATGACCAGTCCTTGCTGGTTCTTTCCTGTCCAGGGCCTTGGGTATTTACCTCAGCCCTGCTGTGCTGTGCTTTCCCCATGTGACCCTTTGCCCTGCCCATTCCTGTCCACGGGCCTGAGGGCCTCGCCTTCCCTTGATTCATTTCTTCTTCCCATCAGTCTGAAGAAAGAAGCTTATGAAGTGGAAATTCACAGGCTGCTCAGGTATGGCCTAAAGTAACTGGGATGCCTGGCAGGGGATAAGGAATAAAATACAGGCTTCCTTAGTACCACAATTTATGGGCACTATAGAAAATGAAAACCAGAGTTCTCTAGTGCAAACATTACAAAGAATTTCAAGATGGCTGGGCGCTGTTGGCACACATTTAATCCCAGCACTTGGGAGGCAGAGACAGGCGGATCTCTGAGTTTGAGGCCAGACTGATCTACAGAGCAAGTTCCAGGACAGCCAGGGCTCACAGAGAGACCCTGTCTTGAAAAACCAAAAATAATTAAATAAATAAAAAGAATTTCAGTAGCAACAGAGCATTCACCACACCTGGGAAGTGTGTCCTGTCCTGGCCTTACTTTTCTGTCCCCAATGCAGCGAAGCCGAGGTTTTGGACCACAGCAAGGACCCTTGTGAGGACTCCTTCCTGCCAGACACAGAGGGCCATACCTATGTGGCCTTTATCCGAATGGAAAAAGATGATGACTTCACCACCTGGACTCAGCTTGCCAAGGTGCCTCAGAAGTACCCTCACCAACATGCATTGCCCACCTAACAGAGTCTTTGTTGTAGAGTTTTCAACCTCAGAACCTTTTCATGCTCTCAGGAACCCCACTTCCTGGCCAGGTGTGGTTCTCTGATGGTGAACGCCTTTAATACAAGCTCTCAGGGAGGCAGAAGCAGGTGGATCTCTTAGGTTTAAGGCCAGCCTGGTCTACAGAGCAAGTACGAGGATGGCCAGGGCTACACAGAGAAACTCGTGTTTCAAAAAACAAACAAAGTACCTCTTTTCTAAACCCTTGCTCAAATCCATACTCCAGAGGATGTTTGCTCTTGAAGATTGAGGCAGCTGCTAGACCTTCACTGGGCAGTCTCCACACTTCCTGACCCATCCCTTTCTCCTGCTCTATCCCTGCCAGTGCCTCCATATTTGGGACCTGGATGTTCGTGGTAACCACCAGGGCCTGTGGAGATTATTTCGGAAGAAGAACCACTTTCTGGTGGTGGGGGTCCCAGCCTCCCCATACTCGTGAGTCGCCTCTTCCACCCTGGGAGATTCCCTCTTGGGGTTGGAGCATGTCGCCTGTCCTGAGAGATTCCCTCCTGGGGTTGGAGCATGTCATCTTCTCTAGATCATTCTTCTGTTACATTTCAGAGTGAAGAAGCCACCACCAGTCACCCCTATTTTCCTGGAGCCACCCCCAAAGGAAGAAGGAGCCCCAGGGGCCGCTGAACAAACATGAAGCCTCCTCCAGGACCCTGCAGGGCTGGGTACTGTGTACCCCAGGCAGGCTGGCCCGTCGCCCCATCCTGTAGGATTTTGTAGATGCTGGTAGGGGTTAGGGCTGGTTTGTTTTTAACATGAGATTTCATTACTAACTTTGAGGGGAAGGATCCCCTGCTCCAACACCCCTGTTCCTGAGGTTAAGGTCTATTTATTACTTCCTTGTTGGAGAAGGGCAGGAGAGTACCCAGGACCTCTTTGGGATCCCTGGGCAGCTGATCCTGCCCTTTTTACACCCCATCCTCCCAGGCCTGGCTCAGAATCTAACCTATTTATTGACCGTCCTGAAGGCCTTGGGAATAGGCCCAACCTGGGGCCTTTATTCCTCTCTGGACCAGGACGCTGCCCTGAGGGTGGGACTGGCTCATACTCAGGAAACTGCTGTGCCCAGCTGATGACAGGCCCAGCTGGGCCATGTGCTGACAGACTCACTCAGAGACCCTTAGACACTGGACCAGGCCTCCTCTCAGCCTTCTTTTTGTCCAGATTTCCAAAGCTGGATAAAGGTGGTCATTGATTAAAAAAGGAGAAAACCTCTAGGGGTGTGTTTTGTGATAGTTTTGTGGGGAGCATGGCATGGCGGTGAGGGAGAGAATCATCTGGACGGATGGTGATGTGCTTTGGTTTTTTTACTGTCTGCCACAGTTTTATCTTATGTGTGGAAGCCCTTTGGCCACCAGGGGATACCCAAGTCTCAAGCTTCAAGTCTTTTGTTTTTATTTGTTTTAAGCAGGCTCCGCCCTGGGACCAGCTGACTTTATTTCTGTTCGGGCCTTAGCTCCAAGCAGCCATCTCACACCCCTTCCTCACTGTTTATTGTCAGGCTGGTCCCTTCCTTGTTCGTCTGGGCCCAGCACCTGTCCCCAGAAGTGCAGTAGCTAGAAGAGACCACAAAGAGAAACTTGGGGGAGGATGAGGGAATGGGAGAGCATGTAAATAGTGAAGACGGACGTGATTGGGCTAAAAGCAGTGGCGGAACCAGGGGTGTGGGAGATGATTTTGTAGGAGGATACTGGGCAAGCAGACAGAGAAGTGAGTGTTTCTGTGGCCTTCTGGATTGGTTGTGTGCAGAATTCCATATAGGGATGTTTTTCTGGAGAAAAAGGCCATGGTTTTCAGATTCTCAAGAGGCTAGTAACTCAAAAGAGCATAGGAAAGTCTGAGTTAGTTACCAGAAAATGGACAGTATGGTCCACTGGGAATCAGATAGCCCAAGGCAGGGCAACGTGACCTTTAAATTAAGTCTCTCTGAAGGATTAAGATCAGGACCTGAGTAGATTGCATTGTAAGAAAGGGTATAGATCTTTTGCCAAGGAGTCAGGAACTTACTGGAATTTCTACCCTTTATCTGTTCTCTGTCCTGGCCTCTCTTACGGTGCCTGGAGTTGAGGACCGCAATGGCATCAGTGCGGTGGCTTTGACACTGCTTATCACCCTGACTCCTCCCGTGTTGGCTGGAGCTAGAGACAGCGGTTCAGGTGGCAAAGCAGGTGCAGAGAAGCAGTTAGCCCAAGATGAAGTGGCAGCCCTCCTTGGGCAGAGGAATCCATCTTCCCTTCCCACCCCTGCTTCCACACGGGTACCTATGGAAGGAACCGAGTGGTTGTGTGCGAGGCACAGTATGCTGGCAAAGGCACGCAGAGGGTGGTGGCCAACTAATTCCTCTCTCTGCCTAGAGCTCTAGTAGACCCTCAGTCAGGCTTCAGTGACTGAAGCTGCGTGGCGCTGGCCAAGTCTCTGCTCCTTTTTGGGCCCAGCAAGTGGGTGATAGTTGTGGGCTGCTCTGGAAAAGCCCGTAGAGACAGATGGGGGGTAGGGGGTGGGGTGCCAAAGGGAAGGGAGGAGGGAAGCCAGTCAAACGGCTTTGCTTGGTAGCAGCTACTGTCCTGTGGCAACAGCCATCTTAGCACTGCTACTTGAAGTTCAGAGACATTCAGTTGGTTTGTTTATTTAAGACAGGGTTTCTTGGTGTACTCCTGGCTGTCCTGGAGCTCACTCTGTAGCCCAGACTGCCCTTGAATTCAGAGATCTACCTACCCCTGCCTCCCAAGTGCTGGGGTTAAAGGCATGCACCACTGCCATCTGGCTTAAAAGACATTCAGATTTTTGTCAGGGACATTCTGGTCAGGCTCTTCAGATTGGACTATCACTGTACTAAGCAAGGTCTACCCAGTTACAGGAGGCAGTCTGGTCGAAGTGTCAGCCTCAGTTTTTCAGCTGGAAAGCTGTGGGACTCTCTGGCTGTAAAACTAAGTAAAGACTAGGGGTGTACCTCAAGCAGTTAAGTGCTTGCTTAGCACACATGAAGCTGGGTGTGATCCCACATAAAACCAGGCGTGGTGACAGCACCTCGGAGACAGGCGGGATTCACGGTCATTATCAGCCATATAGAAAGTTCACGGCTACATGAGACCCGCCATCTCAAAACAACAAAACAAGTGAGATCTTGGCTAGGTGTGATGGCGCACACCCTTAACCCCAGCATTCAGGAGGCAGAGGTAGGCAGCTTTCTGAGTTGTAGGCTCAACCTGGTCTACAGAGCAAGTTCTAGGACAACCAGGACTACATAGACCTTGTTTCAAAAAAACCCAACAACAACAACACACACACCAAAAAAAAAAAAAAAAAAAAAAAAACAAGAAAAGGATGCTTGGGTGAAGGAGCCAGTGCTGGTGGTCGTTGTGTAGGGAGCCTTGCTATAATTATGATTTCAGACCATACACTAAATGTGCCACCATGACCAACCAGGCCACACCCTACAATCACCCAGTTCCCGTTCAAGATGATGGGAACATACCCAGTGTGCCCAGCCACCCTCAGCGGGTACAAGTCTGAATTTGCTGAAGAACCTGTGAATGCTCCCATTGATGGGAGAGACCCACTCCCCTGTTGTCCTCCAATAAAAATGTGTAAATCAACTCCCCCAAGAAGATATGGATCTTGAGAGCAGTGAATAGGCCAATACCAAAGGGAAGATTTTAACATTCTCTAAAGTAGGGCACATAGCTTAGAGCTCCTCATCAGGGTTCCTGGAGGGCTTCTTGGAGCCCAAAGAGTGACTCCACCCCCACAGCCCTGACAATAATTCTGTTCTCCCCTCCTTGACTTGGCACAAGCGTGTTACTTTCATAGCTTTCCAGTCCAGTGCCCTTCACCAGGAGGGAGAACTTTCAGGACAAAGTCCTCTCATGACACATAAAGGCAGACCAACCCAGCTCCCACTTCCTCCGTGCCCTCTTGCCCATTTTTACTCTCCCTCCCCGACCTGAAGCCCAAATACCTACCTCACTTCCACCCTGCTGAGTCTCCAGCCTCACAAAAAACAGTGCAATTTAGGCAAGATGGACCCATCTCTCCCCAAGTGTACACAGTCGAAATAGAAATATTTTCATTGGTTTATAGGTTCCAAAACGCCTTCTACACATCCATCCTATGACCTTGCTGGACTTGAATATGCCCAGGCTATAAGTGCCTTCATCCACCAGTGGGGCGCTGGGATCAAGAGCCACTTTTATATTAAGGGAGTGTTGAGGGTTGAAGAAAAGACTAAAGAGATGGGCAGAAGAGGCTGCTTCAGAGTCTCTGGAACAGATGTTTCCCTAGCCCCACCAGTAAAAGGATGAGACAGACACACAGCCCGGAAGAGGTGGTCCCTGTTTAGCCCAAAGTCCAGAGCAAGCAAAGGCAAATCCACTTTCAGCCCAAATGACGTTGTTAGATTTCATCTCCACCCAGGTCACCGCTGCCTAGCTGTGCCAAGTGCCTCTTCCTGGTTTCCATGTGGCAGCAGCAAGTGGGGAGGTAGAAGCAGTCTTATTTCAGATTGCAGTAGAGATACATGGATACAATCATGGCAGCCAGCTGGTGGGAAGGAACAGGGAGACACGAAAGGCCATGATTGAGATCAAGGATTGGCTTCCTGCCCACCCTGAATAGCCTCCACGAAGCATTGCTTTCTCGATGGTAGAGGACATGCTTGGCATCCATAGGTCTCTGGGTTCAGTCCTCAGTTCCAGAATGAAAACACAAGAAATTCTTCTCCTCTAGAGAAGCCTCAGAGATGGGCTAATCTGTACTGATACCCAGGTCCAGTCTCCTCACTGACTTACCTCCAGGGCCGCAATTCCAACTGCCACACCACCCACAGTGACCGCATTGGTTCTGATGTCATGCAGAAGCTGATTGAAACAACCCTTGGGGGAGGGGAGAAAGTGTTTATAGCCGACAGTGCCCTTCCTCTGACCCATTTACTACTACTGTAAGGCCATTAAACAATCCCAGCCATGCCAGGCAGTGATGGTGCACGCCTTTAATCCCAGCACTCAGGAAGCAGAGGCAGTGGATCTCTGTAAGTTCAAGACCAGCCTGGTCTACAGAGAGAGTTCCAGGATAGCCAGAGACACCCAGAGAAACCCTGTCTTGAAAAATAAAAAAAAGGAACCCCGCCCTTCCACGTCAGCCCATACCTGTACTTGTTTCTCTCTGGCCTTATCCTCGGTGCACGGTCCCTCGGTGCTATTGGTAGGCTTGCCACAGCAGTAAGAAGGAAAGACCTTATTCTCTTCGACGAAATGTGAGCCGTTAAAATCTGTATAGTTGTTGAAACCACAGCACTTCAGCTGCAGACAAAATAGGGTGGATGATTGATGGGGCCGTGTTTGTTTTTGTTTGTTTGTTTTCGTTTTTCCTCTCCACTCCCAAATCTTCCCAGCCCACCTTACCCCGTCCATGGTAGAGTTCCACACTTGGGTGAATTCAGTCTGGGAACCGTAGTCTTTCTTGATGGCAGGCACCACCAGCAACGTCAGGAACTGTTCTGCCTGGATGGGTCGGGCCAGCGTTAAGAGACTGGCAGGGGAAGTGGCCATTCACAGGTCAC